TGTGTGTGTGTGTGTGTGTGTGTGCGTCATCCGTTCAGCTGGTCTGATTCCGCTGCCCTTCCAGCCCATCTATTCTGGTCTCAAGGCTGCTGTCGTGATGTTCTCACGAGCCATCGCGGCGTACATGCAACGCACAAGTGAGTGAGGGGACGGAGAGAGTGGAAAATCCAACAGGGACTCGGCGACTCTGTTCGTGTGTGTGCAGACGTTCGTGTGTACACCATCTGCCCCAATTACGTCGACACACCAATGGTACACACACATACACACACAGGGAAGGAGGGAGGGAGAGGAAGGGGTGCTTCATTCATTCATCTGTGTGTGTTGGTTCTGTCCACCAGATGGAGGAGGTCTTCAAGCACCAAAGCAGGAAATTCATCCATGCCATCGAGAAGTCAGGTGGGCACGCCGTCTGTCGGTGCGCCTGCAGGCAGCGAGGCACGATTAGCCGCAGGCATGTCATACCATGGCACTGTCGGCGCATTGATCTGTGTCCACCCCCCACACAGGTGCCCTGCTGCCTCCCGAGGTTGTCTCCACAGCGGCTGTGGAGGCCGTCAAGAACAAATCGCTGGTGAGTCGGGCCCGAACCAGTGTGTGTCGCTTTATTTCCTTGCCCTTATGTGACTGTCAGCCGAGTGGTCTGGTGATACGAGTGACACCCCAGCTGGGCATCGACTTTGCCCGGCTGCCTGGGAGCCCCTTTGCACAGCCGGTGGTGCCGGCGTCACTCAAGGCCTACAGCGAGAGGCTGGTGGCGAAGATCAAGGAGAGGGACCAGAAGATCGCCGCCAAGCTGTGAGGGCGTCTGTGTGGCTGCCGTCTGCACAATGATTGGACGACGCTAGAGTCAGACGCTATTTTTGTGAGAAGGACTTGAGTTTGTCGTGTGTGGACTCAATAGTTTTGAGTCGGCATTGCGGTTGACATGTATGTATCTGTATGTCATTGTCTCAGCGCTCCTTGATGGACACCCCACACACATGCGTACCGACCAGAGTCCGGACCAGACTTACCGAGTCGGTCCGTGACGGTCCGACCGTGACGGTAATGCGATCAGAGAGAAAGCGTTACCGACTCGGTCCACCGGCTGGCTCACTTACAGATGGAACAGCTATACACATACAGACCAGCACGACACTCACAGATCCCCCTTTTCACTGCCGCCAAAGACGACCGGGCGCTCATTAAACACTCACCCAGCCATACACAACAGTCAATCGATTACAAAGCGAGTGGCGAAAGCTATCCACGTGTCGGCATGCCATGTATCAGGGAGGCGGGACGAGGCTAATCCTTCTCCGTCATAGCAGAACCAACGGCCGCACCACCACACAAACACATGTATGTCAAGAGATATACACAGCTAGCTACAGCGACAGCAGACCAATCAAGCGCCTGCCCTCCTGTTGTCCCACACACTCTGCTGTTGCCCCCTCTTCAGCTTCAGCCGTGCTGCGATGCGCCTCGTGGATTAGTACTCATTCTTCTGCAGACGGTCGAGCGCCTCTCCCACCTCTTCCATCTGAGAGGTAAAGACAGACAAAATACCATGGGCGACAGCAGACGGGCGTGCCGTATGTGTACCTCCCACACGAGGTCGTGGTACTGCAGCGTCAGCGTCACAGAATGCCGAGTGTGTGGCGGCAGAAAAACATCATGGCATGCTTTCGGAGCTTACCAATCACTGTCATGACGTTCTGGGCCGAGAGCTCGTAGCCTGCCTCGGCCACGATCCGGCGGGCCTCCTGCACAATTCCCTTCCGGGCAGCGAACACATCCTCTGAGAAAACACATCCAATTCCGTGTGGTGTTGGCCGTTCTCTTGTGTCCTGGCGGCTGATATAGATACCGGGTTCTGGAAATGGTAGGCCACGGCAGGGCTGTGCCTCGGTGTGGTGCGCATCCGTCATGTTCTTCCCCAACGTTCGCCATACGGTCAGGACGGGCTGGACGATCTCCTGGTCCACATCACGCGAGACAGGACAAAAGGTAAGCGGAACCTGCAGCAGCGGCAGACCAAGCAAACAAGAACGCATGCCACTCGCTGCAGCTGCTTACTCTGACGGGATGCGCACCTCCTGCATGCAGCACAGCGAACGCCATGGATGGATCCGTGTTCGCCCTTCCGCTGACCCGCCCGACTTACGTTGATCTCAATCATTTGGTTGATCTGATGAACGATTGTGGCGTCATTTCCGATATCCTCGAGGGAAGAGCCGATCTTGTAGATTCTACGCGCATACAGGAAACATCCAACCAGAGTGCGCTTGAGTCGTGATCTTTCAACTGCCCGACCAGGGAGAACGAAGCCAAAGAGAAAGAAGGCGCTCATAGTGTTCATGACTGCGTGTCTCTCCGCTGGTGTGAGTGTCGCCAGCGCAAGTCAGCGAGCTTAGACCGATCGCAAGATGATTTAGACATCGAAGCCCTCCCAAGAGCAACCAGCGGTCGCGCGAAGGTAGGTGACGTGCACTTAAGGACCTGGTCATCCGTCCTCGTAGACTGCAAGATGGGCAATAACCACACTGCGGACGGCCATGGTGCCGTCATCGATGGCCATACACTCGATTTCCTCCACAAAGCCCACAGAGATGCCCTGCACACGTACGCACAGGACACACGAACGGATGAGGGAAGGGGAGAGGCAGTTGTGTGTGTGTGTGTGTTGTGCTTTGCCTGTGTGCAGCCTGTCGGAGGTCGGCAGCCTCAGAGCCACGGCGCACTTCCTCTGGTCCGTCGACTTCTCCCCACGTGTCTGTCCTGCGCAACCGACTCAATCGCTGCCTGTCGGCCAAGGGATTGCACACCATCATCACATTCGACGCGCAGCTCGACCGCCCTCTGCTGCTCAAGGCCATCTGGCTGATGGACACACAGCAGTGGACAGAGGTGGCCGATGCGCTGAAGCTGGCAGCGCAGTACGGCTACTGTCAGCTCCCGGTCGCATGTGACCTGCAGAGGCACGATAGCCAACAGGTGGCCGTAATCAGGGTGGGATAGTTGGCACTCATGTGTTTGTCTGTGTCCGTGCAGGCGTATTTGGCCGATGTGCGTGTGGTTGCGTTGTGGAAGATGGTCGGCAGACACGTCGAGTTCGGCGGCAACTACGGCCGTTTTGAGCTTTTCGACCAGCCGGGCGGCGGTGTGCGCGCCCTGCGTGACGCGCCTGGCTTCGAGCTGGACATCAATCCCCCCCTCCCCCCTGCTCACCCATACCACCCACACATCATCGACGGCAACCCGCCCGTCAGATCCTCGATCGACCCACAGGGGGACAGCTGGACGGCAGGTGCTGAGGTGACCACTGATGCCTCAGTGTCGGCCTTCATCATGAGGGTCATCATGTGGCCAGCAAATTGGGGCCATGCTCCTGTGGTTCTGGTCGACAGGTACGCAGGACACACCACACCACACCACACCACACTCAGACGCAGACACGCACATCCATTTATCACGGCCTCTTCCTCTGTTCTGTGTTGGCCTCTTCAGACATGCCCACGGCGGTGTGCTGCACGGCCTCATGAACCACTTGCCGCACCAGCCGCCCAACGGCTGCAGCGCCGTCATGGCGCACAGGTTCGACGATATGGTTCCCCCTGCAGAGTGCCGGACTCTGCTGCTGACGCCATTCGACCGCCCGTTCGTCGCATGGATCGATCTCATCATCCCCAGCGAAACCAACACAGGCAAGGAAGGGATGGAAGGGATGGTATGATTGATAATGCCACCCACCCTTTGACGCGTTGCGCTGTTTCGCTGAGTGCAGTGTGTGTTCGGGTCGTCACCACCGAGCCGCCAGTGGGTGATGCATCGGATGCCTTCAAGGACCGCCGGCCCACTACCGCCCCTCTCGTGGGCGGCCTGCTGGGCAACACCATCGCAGATATGGCCATCTACCAGAAACAAGACCAGGGAGACGATGAGGGTCAGTGTACATGCAGCTGGCAGTCCGGACAGGTCGGATAATCGGTGTGCTGTGTGCTGTGTGCTGTGTGTGGTGGTGTGCAGAGGACGAGGATGATGACGATGACGACGATGACGGTGAGGGTGGGTGGGGGAGATGTGTATGTGCTGTTGGGCTCTTTTGTATGTTTGGGAGTGTGTGCAGATATGGATGGCGAGTCGGAGGATGAGTTGGACGACATCGGCGGGGATGGCGGTGGTGACCGCCAGCAGCAGCAGCAGCAGCAGGAGAAAGAGGGTGAGCGGGGCGGAGGAGAGGAACAAAATCATCATGACATTCTTTCGTGCCTTCATTTGTGTGCGGCGGTCTGGCGATGTGATCCCTTGTGTGCCAGGTTGACCGAGGTGGGCCGGTGGCGCACGGATGGAGGATGGCCAGGAGGCCAAGCGTAGAGTGTGCATCCAGCTAGCTGCCCGTGATGCAGAATCCATGCCGTTTTTACACAGACGTCACGTCGGTGCGCACTGATGTATTCATGTTTGTCAGAGATGAGCCAGCCCTTTTGTGTATGCGCTCATCTCAACGCTCCTTGATGGATACCACACACATTCACTCACTCATGCGAGCAAGGGGGACTTTGTTGTGTGTGTACTCATTAGTCTTGAGTGAGTCGTCATTGCGGTTGACATCTAAGTATGGATCTGTATGTCATTGTCTCAGCGCTCATGGATGGACACCCCACACACGCACTCACGCATGCAGACACAACCCCACCCAGCTGGCAAGAATCTCCTCGCTGTGCTGCCCCTGCTTGCCATTGTGTTGGCCTTTTGCGGTGCATGTCGCGACTCACATGGACACTGCACCAAGTCGAGTGCATTGCCCCATGAAGGACGGGCGGACACAGCCAGAAACCGACACGGGTGCAACGGAACGGCAACACCATCACTCAAACCAAGGTAGGATACGCTATGCACAGGGACTGCCGCTACGTGCTTCCTCCTTCCCAGTCGCCATCCGACCGCCACTCACTCCTCTCTTTGGTTCACCGTTCTGTTCCCTCTGCTTTCATAGGCAGGTCACCGTACGGGAGCACGCACTAAGACCTGCTCGTGACAGCAGTGAGCAGAAAGATGACACACCCAGAGAGATGCGACAGGGGAGAACACGACAAGGCTACACGCAACACAACGCCCCGTGTACATGAGAAAAGGAAACTTCTCGCTTCCAGTGTGTGTGTGTGTGTGGATGCAGGCACGTATGCAGAGCTCGACAACAAGGCGGGTAGGCAGGCAGGCAGGCAGGCAGGCGACTCGCCGACTACATAAAGCGCAAGGCAATTAGGCAGGCAGGCAGGCAGGCAGCCTGACACCCACTCTGTCTACACACTTCCGTCACTCTACTAATTACAGAAACGCTCGGCTGTTGTGGCCCCTCCCTCCCTTCCCTCCCTCCCTCCCTCCTCTAAGCGAACCGGCTCGCGTGCATTACGCAAGCGACGTGTGTACGCAAGAAAGCCATGATCCGTACGAACGCACACCGTACACACTACAACACGCCGCCCCTGCCAGGGGCAACCAACTCGCCATAGTCGGGTGCACATCTCTCCGCTTAAGTGATCAGCATCACCAGGCAGCGGTCATCCGAGGCAAGGCAGCGACGTAGACGGCACCGGAGCCACGCCGACACGTCCTTTGGCCTTGGCTGAGAGTGTCGCCTCAGAAGGGTCCCGCGGTGGAGTGCCGGCCAAGGGCATCGGCGCCGCCGTTTGAGTTGTGGTCATGGGAGGGGTCTTCTTGGCGGCGTCCGTCTTGGCAGGGCCGGGGCTGCTCTTCTTGCTGCTGTTGCTGTCCATCCGGGCGAGGTCTGCCGGAGAGAGAGTGGTTGAAACGGATGTGGCTGGCAGCAGATCTAGCCGTGCCGTGCCGTGTGTAACGCAGGATAGCTGAAATACACTCAAAAGGCAATGACGACGGGCGTATCTTCTTTCGCCCCTTTTTCTCGGCTCGCAGCGCGAGCTTGAAGTAATCGTTCGGGTTTGCAGAGAGTGGAGGGAGAGTCGATTACACTTCAGGATCATACAGCGTCAACGTCCAGGGCCAACGTTTAAAAATGAATCCATCCATCCATCCATTCGTCAATCAATCAATCGGTACTATACACGAGCGATGCTCTGCGGACTCTAAGGGGCTGGGCCTGCCAGGCCATCCAGCTGTGCGTGTTAGGTCTGCTGCTGGTGCGTGCTGGCTAGCAACTCCTGCCCGCCCTTGTGCACCGACGTGAGCATCCGCAGCCTCTCCTCCAGCGACTCCATCTCCAACCTGAACACAGACGCCACACAGCCACTGAGTGACCGACTGACTCACTGGCTGTGGGGAAGCATACCTCATGTCGTCAGCCTGCTTCTGCATGAAGGATGACGTGCCGAAGCCATGCCGGCCGGACGAGGCGTGGAACATGCCGCCCTTCTGCTCGGGCACCATGTCGACCAACACGGTCCCGTCCTCTTGCATGAGATCGGCCAGCCGGCGATCCGGAAGCACCCTTTCGCCATCCATGAGTATCCTCACGTTCTTCCCGGGAGACTTCCCCCCTGTAGAGAAAACAGCACCAGCGGAGATGAATCGATCGCATTCGGTGTGGCGGACGTCGCTCACCCGACAGTAGAAGCACTCGGTCCCACACGTCGGACATCCGGCCACTCGGGCCAGACGGCGCCAGCACACGCGACTCCTGACCCCACGAGCTCTTTGTGCGCAGTTCCACCGCCCCGCTACTGCCGCTGCTGCTGCTCGCCTGCTGCTGGACCTCAGCCAAACGATTCATGCCGTCATTGAGGCTCTGACACACACACACACACACACACAAACACATGCACACACATACGGAGATTGTGCATGTGTGTGTGCGTGTGTGACAGCGGCACATACCTTGCCCATGGTGGTGATGAAGTGGTTGACGTCCCTGAGGGCGTCGGTGACCTCTTCGTAGCGGTCGATGTCCAGCTTGCCATAGTTCAGCGCCTTGCGCGCCGTGGTCAAACGACCCTGAACGCCCCAGCAGACACAGCCACTCGGGCGTCGTGTGTGTGAGTGAGAGCCCCCACCCCGGCGTACCTCCACTTCGTTGAAGCTCTGCATGAGACTCAACGGCGGCAGCACCAGCGCCTCACTCAACGCCTCCACATCGCCAGCACACGCCTTTAGCCCTGCACACAGCAATTGGCACACAGAGATAGAAGAGTACAATGGAAAGGTCTTGTCAGCCGCTTCTGCCGCTGCGTACCTGCTAGGATGGTCTCAAACGAGTTGAATATGGCCGAAAACCGCTTCTTCTCAGCGCGGAGCACCCTCTCGAGCCTGTCGATGTCTGCGCAGAAGTGGAGGGGGGCATCGACCATCTCAACATCGCCGCCCTCGGCATGCGAACGCCTAGCGGCGCGCGTCTGTACCATTTCTCGCAACGGGCCGGCGCACTCCTTTGAAAGAGAGTGACAACTGGCCCCTCTTCCCCTCGCAATCAAGCTCGCACAGTGACGCGCTTTGGAAAATACGTGGGAAAATGCCGCTTCTGAGCGTTCAGGTGGAAAAGGAGGACGGCGTTACCTTTCTGTTCGATGTTGACAGCTTAAAGCCAATCGACACACTATGCCAACAGGTGACAAGCCTCACACGCACCCATTCCTGTCTGTCTGCAATGCATCCATCCATCTATATGTGTGATTTGCAATGCAGCTGGAGCCAAGAGCGCAGATTGCAAAGAAGGAACAACGCCTCCTTTTGTAAGAAGAAATGACACAAACAGCAAGAAGAGATCCCGCGCAAGGATCTCTTGGCGTCTGTGCATGCAGCAAGGGCCAGGCCCTGAACCCCGAGAGGAATTTCGACAGCTATGGCATTCATCACAACGCCACCATCTTCCTCCTCAAGCATGCGCCCGATGCCAAGCCGAGGGCGGTGGGGCTGGGCAGGCTGAGTGGGGAGCAGTTTGTGTTCGATGGGCGCCCGGTTGGCTCGCTTGGGGGGTTGCAGAAGCATGTGCTCATGAATCCCGACATTCTGGAGTCGATGCTGCGGAGTGACAACATGCAGAGCTTGATTGCATCGCCGGACATCCTGCAGAAGGTCAGCTTGTCTCTCTTGTGTTTGTTCACTGCCTCCCTACCTGCCTGTCTCCCTTTCTCTGTCCGTGTGCAGGCTCTGCGGTCGAATGCTGCAGTGTGTGAGGCGATGCAGCATGAGCCGAAGCTGGCCCAGCTCATCGATGACATTGAGGTCAGGTAATGGACAATAAAGACGCGAAATAGACACACAATGATGTGAGCCCCCCACGGCCCAGGATTCCCCTCTGTGTTTCAGTTTCTGGGTCAGGTCGGTGATCTGGTGCGTCAGCCGTCCACTGTTCGCGAGTTGCTGCGTGCGACAGAGAGGGGCGCGGCGCTGGTGGACAGAAACAAAAACACCCCTGCACCATACGGCACTCTCAACCAGGCACATGACATAGGAGAATGAATGAAAAGCACAGAGATCGATCAATCACCCACGTTGCCTGGCTGGTGTCTCCCCTGCGCTCACTGCACGCAGGGTCTGAACACGATTGCCCAGCTGCAGTCGCTGCAGAGAGGGGCGAGGGAGGGCCAGGGGGAGGGTGGAGAGGATGAGGCTATGCCTCGTGGGACGATGCAGTACGACCCCAGCGCCGTGGCCATGATGATGCAAGACCCTCATGTGCAGGTGAGACGAGACATATACAATGACAGGCCAGCCAAGGGAGGGACGGAGAGAGGAAGGAAGACACTCATGCATGCATATGTCGTCTCTGTCGGCGCAGAAGACAATCGCATCCATGGCAATGGACAGATTTCGACAGACACAGGTGTGTGACGAATGTGAAATCCCCATGTCCGACATGACGTCTCTTTGCGTGTGTCTCAGGGGCCTGACGCGGCCGAGGCTGGTGCTGCCCCGCCAGTCCAGTCTGACCCTCGTGTGCTGCAGCACATGTACCACCCCACCACACTGCAGGCACTCATCCTACTGCAGAAGAGCTCCAAACGGTGAGAGAGAGAGAGAGAGAGAGAGAAGGGACGGGCGCCACACAAATGACTCGTGTATTCTGTCTGCAGTCTGCTGGGGGATCAAGACAAAGTTTCGTCTAAGGGGAGGCGGCCGAGCGTCCCGAAGATACCCAGGCCGGGCGCGTATGGCATGCCGTGTGACAACATCAACTTCCAGGAGGCTTTCGAGCCGTTTGTGGTGCAGCAGCACATGGCCCCAGAGGTCAAGTATGCGGGACAGCTGACTGCGCTAAGGGCCATGGGTTTCCACGATGTGGAGGCGTCAGTGGCAGCGTTGAAACAAAGCGAAGGTGCCATATGTGTATGAAAGGTTTGCTGGGCAAAGGTTTCATTCACCTTTCCTCTGTTCGTTCGTTTGTGTTGGCTCAGGTCATGTGAATCGAGCGGTGGATATACTCATTCAGCAGCAGGCTGCATCATGAGATACATACGTTAGCCAGCTGCATGAATATGCCCGGCCAGGGGTGTGTGCTGTTCTGTGTCTGTTCTCGTGCTGTCTGTCTGTCTACTATTGTCGCATTCCTTTATTTCCACGCAGTACATAGACATGCAACACGTACCATGTCACAGGTCAATGTCCTTGGTTTGTTGCTTCGACACTGTATCGGAACACGTGACACCGAAAAAGGACTTAATAGCATGGGGCAGGTCATTTGCTAATCGTGCGGGTGATGGTGTCTATGTTGGCGGTGTTGTTAGCCGCAATTTGCTCAGTATACGGCAGCCACTTGCCGTTCAACACCACCACCACACGGTCCTGTGAAGAAGCCACACACATACGCGCGCGCACACACACACACAAAAGGGCAAGGCAGGCGAGGTGTGTGTGTGTGGTGGAACTCACCTCGCCTGCCTTGCCCTTGATTTTGTGGACGGTCATGTAGAAGTCGATGGCAGACTGACAGCAAGCAACACACAGATGGCGCCCACCCGCACCCATGTCAGGTCACCACCCGTCGTAATGCGTGCAGCGTGCCCACCATAATGCCTGAAACACACACCACACCATGGCCATACACTCGCATCCACCACCGTGTACGTGTGTGGCTGGATTGGCATACCGTCGCCGAACTTCTCGTTGAGCAAGATCTTGAAGCCCTCGCCGTAGTGCTGCACTGAGAGACCAACACACATAAGGTAGGTGCACCCGCACACTAACAGCCTTGCTCTCACAGTCCATCCACCTGCTTCCATGAGGCGATAGACGGACGGCTCCTGCACAATGTCCACGTCGAATCGTCTGTTGGGCGTCTTCTGCATCTCCTCAATCACCGACGGTGGCAAAGAGGGCAGGATCTCCTGCAGCTTGGGCGCTGCACTGGCGGGAAGGGGCGCCTGCAGAAGGAACAGCTGAGCCGTAAACGCATTCGTATACCTACAGGATACACACATCAGCAGGGCCTGCCTGCATCTGAGTTTGCTGCTTGTGCCTGCTCGTCACTCACCCCAGCTCGTGAGCGATGCTATCGAATGTCAGGCCCTGCCGCTTCTTGGCATCCATGAGCGTCGTGATAATGTCGTCCTTCTCGTTTCGGTCCTGTAGAAAGGATGGCTCCCTCACACCACTGCCAAAGCATCTCGACGCCAAAAGAGAGCACCGCCATGAGTGCTTCTGAAAGGCCCCGGGCAGCAGTGCACGACTCTGCCTGATGAGCGGGATGGCCGCCTTCATGCCATTGGCCACGTTCATCGTCTGAGATCTGCCCATCTAAGCTCGCAATATCGAGCTCGTCGCTGATTTCACCCCGTTGCGGCGTATCCCGTTCATCCCTATTCTATTCCACTCATTCAGTTTTGAGCCGTTTCCTGTGCCTCAAACCATACATAGAATTGATATCATCTCAGCACGAGCAAACTGCAGTGGGGCTCAGAGGTGATGAGGCCCTTCCCGTGCCTGCTGGTCATCGCAATTCATCTCGGGGCTCGTGTGCACGCCGCCTGCAACAATCGGCTGAAGAGTAAGCGCCCATCGACCATCAGACAGAGTGAGACAGTCACGTGTGGTGTCTCTCTCTATGTGGCATTTCAGGCATTCGCCGCAGTAATGGCACGTCCCTCGAACATGACCATGGAGCTTATTCGGGCCGGTGCCAAGAGCTGGAGACCAAGGACAAGTGCACTGGGTTCATGAAAGCTGAGCGGGAGGGGTGCGGTTTGGACGGCACGGGCCTCTGCGAGTGGTGAGTAGGTTCAGTTCCATCCCTGTGTGCCATGTGGTGCCTCTATGGTGTGTGCCTTGCCACGCACTCAATCATCAGGAACGATGAAGACAACAAATGCAAGTGCAGCGTGAGGGACGTCGAGGACCTTCCCAGAGAAGAATGCACACTTCGCTCGGGGGGCTGCTACCCACCGTGAGTATGACTGACTGACTAAACTCTCTAGGGTTTGCACGAGCGTCTCCCCTCTCTCTCTCTCTCTCTATTGTGCAGTGGGTTTCGGGCGTGGAACTCTACATTGCAGTTGTGTGTGTGCTCGCGCGACTGTGAGTCGCTGGAAGACGATGACTGCGACGGCGAGTTTCCGTGCGGCGATGTTTATTTCTGCAAACGGTCCAGAAAAAAGTGCCGCTGTGTGGAGATGCACGAGTGAACGACCGACTACCTTGGTACATTTGGTACATAGACAGAAAGATAGACCTGAGCAGAAAGTTGTTTGTTACGTCGATAAGTCTGTCCATTCATTCATTCAGTCCACGTAACTACATCCATGGCGTGCGATATACAGCCGAGCAAGGTTCTAGCGGCTGTCATGATGAAAAAAACACTCGTCCATCCCTCTCCCACATCATCAGAATGTGTCCCGAGGCCGGCTCCGTATCTTCTCGCCCAGCTTCTGATCAATCAACACAGACAACGTACCAATGTAAGAATTTCTGGTGTTGCGGCGCAATACTGACCTCGAAATGCTCCAGCCGCCTAAACAGCTCACGCTGCATGCAGACACGGGGGAGAGAGAGAGAGAGGCCAGAGCAAACCGTTATCAGTCATTCATTTACGCGAAGCGTCTGTGCGTACCACAGGAATGGTCTGCTGCGCGATGGCCAGGGGCCGTGGCTGCTGGCAGTGACGCATCAAATCACCTACACACACCACATTACACCAAACCAAACCACATGGAGATGAACACTCGAATCGCGTGCAGATGGCTGGCTGGCTGACCAACAGAAGCGAGGAATCTGTCCCGTTTGGTCTTAGAGTCTTCGTCGATCATCTTTTCGTCCCCACTGCTGTCCATGCAGCTCTCGAACATACTTCCGGGGTGGGGGTGGGCGGGCAGGCCCCGCATCGACGCGGGCGGCGTGCTCGACTTGCTCACAGATTGATGATGCACATAGCCGTACAACGATGTCCGCTGCCACACACAGAGGAGAGGGCCACACGTGTGCATCTGTGTGTTGGTGTGTATGCCTTCTCCCTACCAGGTCTTGCAGCAGCTGCGTCGCCCCTGGTAGGTCAAGTGTCACCAGCATGCGACCGCCCTGCCACCGACCACCGCTGCACATATGACACACACAGAGAGAGACAATGCACAGCCCCTTCCATGCACCTCTCACCCCCCACTCACCCGCTCTGGTTGAGGACTTGCTGCACCACTCCTCCCTCATTGGTCCCGCCATACTGCACCGCCCGCATCGCCGCGTCGCTTACCTTCCTCCCATCCACAGGCACGCCCCTGTTGCTGCCCTCCTCCACCGCACGACACAGCACCTCCAGCAGATGCAGCACCGGCCGCGACAGCCTCTCGCGGTCGATGGACCGACGGTCGCTGGACCCACGTGAGACGAGACGGCCCCACGGCCATGTGGATGGTGGTATGGGTGTGGGTGAGGGTGCTGGTGATGGTGAGGGGCGGAATCCGAGTCGCTGGAGGAGTGGTGAGAAGGGTGTGGGTGGAGAGGAGGATGGGGAGGCAGGGGCGGGGGACGGCAGGTTGAGGGGCGCTGTCGGGGGCCAGTCGGACGTGTCATCTGATGGGCGTGCGTACAACTGGTTAGGGATTCTATGCCGGATGTGTGTGCGTGTGCCGTTTCACCTTTTTTGATGACGAACGCCCCAGCGCCCTCCCCGAGCTGCCCGATCATTGAGGCCAGCACGTGGCTGTCCTCGTCATCTTCAAATGCCTCCTCCTGCACACACACACGCACAACACACAAATAGGCACGCACATCCACACAGTTAGTGATGTGTTGGTGTTATGTGGTCAGGTCACCTCTCCCTTGTCCTGGTCAAGCATGAATATCTCGCCCTCCTCCTCCCCGTCATCGAATATGACGGGATGCCCACCCTCACTGCCGGCACCCGTCGCACTGCACGCGCCACTCCCGCTGCTCTTGCGCGACATCCGGCCGCTGACATTCATTGACACGGCAGAGTGAGAGAGTTATGCAAAGGGCGGTGTGCTGTGGTCGGCGCTTACACAGACATGAGGCTGGCTGAGGACTGCTTGCGCACGGCAGGGTGTGAGGCCATCCACAGATCGCCGAAGCCTGAAAGGGAAACGCACCAGCGCACCCATACATGTGGTCTCGATGCCCGAGAGTGGGTGTGCAATTTCGCTTACCCTCGTCTGGCCGGGGAGATGGCAGCATCTCTGATGTTGGGCTGACGCCCAGCACGGGGCTTGGGCAGTCCCGCGATGTCGTCCTGCTCTGGTACCCGAGAGGCGGTGTGCCCAGCGGCCCAAACACACCCTGGCCGTACCCGCCGCTGCCCTGCCGACCTGGCACACACATAGCACACACATCCAAATGAAGTAAACAGGTGCCCATGTCTGTACCAAGGCGCCTTCCTACTGGTTGGTGTCTGTGGTGCTGAGCCTCTCGAGTGTGGAGTGTGTGGCCTGGGCGGCAGCCCTTCGCCACGACCGGGAGAATAGTCGCTCGCCTTGGTGCCCACCCTGATGTCGATGGACACAGTCCGGACATGGATGATCCGTGCAGTGTTGTTTCTTTTGTTGTGTTGTGTGTGTACAGTGTCGTTGTGTACCTGGGTGAGGTTCTCATGTGTTGTGTGGTGCCCCAGGGCGTGTGTGCCGATGAGGGGGTCGGCGTGGGCGTCTGGGAAGTGTCACGCAGCAGCGGGGGGGGCAGCTGAGACGTCAACATGAGACGGAAAGGGTAATGGATTGGTGGAGAGATGGCTGTCCCCTGCACCTACCGTGACATTGGGTGGCGTGTTTCCCCTGCCCAACAGCCCGTGATCTCTGGGCGATATGCTCATGGGCGCCACGCCAGGACCGCTGCTGGGGGAGATGCCGGTCGGACGATGATGCAAATGACTGACACACACGGCAGGGCAAAGGACACACATGAGGAGGTTGCTTGATGGCTGTGTATTCTATTTGTCTGTTGGCAGGCATACCGTGGCTGTGCGAAGGGCGGAGTGCCGGCCGCCATCATGTTTCCCGTCGACGAGTCGGACGGCCCAGAAGCTGACCGACACGCACACAGGCGACATGTAGATGACGCACACATGTATTGTATGCTCCTTTCTCCCCCAACTTACGGAGTGGCGGGACGTCGCCGTCATCGGAGCCCGACTTGTGGCGCCTGCCCTCTCCTGTCAAGACGTTCATCGTCCAGCCTCTCTCCGCCTGCTGGTGGTGATGGTGGCCCCAGGACCGATGCTGATGGTGGTGTTGGTGGTGGTGGTGTGAAGATGCGCCCAAAGCTGGGCGAGGAGAGAGAGAAATGGACGGCGACTGGCCTGACGCAAACAACACACACACACAAGCACAGTATAACGGTGTGTGGTGTTCATGCTGAGCCTACCTCGTGGCTGGTGCGTGGGCGGGTTGCATGTGACGTAGCCCTCCTCCACCTCATAGTTGTCGACGTAGCCGAACGCAGAGGCCGCCGCGTCCTCGGTGAGCGGCTTCTGAGGGAAGGGCAGCTCCAGCCGGTGGCTGACGCCGACGGAAAGGACGCCGAACGAGCAGGGAAGGTTCAGAAAGTCAGACGACGTCACCTCCTTGCCTGAGCGATGGATGGCACGATCAAGGATCGGACATCTGTGGTTTGTGCACATGTGTGTTTATGGTCAAGTCGGCTTACAGTTGTAGTTGGCGAGTGCATTGATGTCTCTGAAGTGCACACGGTGGCTCAGCCGAGCTGTCGCCATGCCGTCCTTCCTCCCTGCAGCCACAGACAGACAGACAGCCAAGCAAGCAATCCACACATTCAAAGGGAACACGCTCATTCTGAAAGCGTCTTCTCGTCATCCACCTGGTGCGCGACTGGTGGCATGTGCACCCCTCTGTGCGTCGACATAGCAGTGGTAAGCCGGCAGGAGCCGCGTGAAGCAGAGGAGCGTCCGCAGGCCGAGGCACAGCTTGTTGTAAAGACGGTCGCTGTACTTCTCCGCCAGTGTGCTGACACACAGCCATGCACCCACACAGGGCAGACAGATGTCATCCGATGTGGAAGGGCAGATGGATGAGTTGTTTGGTCTACTTTGGGTGGAATTTGAACGTCCACCTCTCCACCAGCAGCTGGTCGCCCGGACGACCATCCGCATCTGAGCACGAAGGAGCAGCAAGTCAGTGACCTGCTTGTCTGTCCGTCCGTCTGTCTGTCTGTCTGTCTTGTCCCTACCCACCAGTTTTGTTGAGGTATATCTCAACGCTGAATGTGAATGGTCGGTCGAAGTGGTAGCCGCGGATGCCCCTCGCCACCTCCTGACGCACGTCAAACCACTCGGCCAACCGCAGCTGAAACAACTGTGGGAGAGAAGGAGAAGCAACAAGCAAACAATTGCAGGAAGAGGCAACGCGAGTCTGGATCTTTGTGCTTCGCGTGTTCTCTCGCTCACCGTCGACATGTGCCTCGGGTGCGATGATGTTTTGAGCGGGATGACACGCGCTTGCAGGATGACCTCCGACGCCTTGATCAGAAACTCGGCAAGCCACCCCTCGACCTGCTTCCGAGGCACAGACATGATGGAATAGCTGCTGGCAGTGCCCTTCTTGCCCTTCGCGAAGCAGCGGCAGCCTGAGGAAAAGTGCGAGCTGGAGTTAGAGCGGAGACCGAGTTAAACGGGCGAGGTCTACGAGACATGAATTGCGATGGATGTGGACCCAAGCTTGCGTGTCCATGAGACCTCCGTCGTCACTGAATGCTTCTTTCGGCTTCGTCACATTCCTACTCGCTACCCCGAGCTACTGCTGATACTCCAACTGGTTACGAACGCCCACCTCGGGT